AACTGTAATTTAAGATTATTGTGGGTGCAATGCTTGAATATTAGTTTTCAACAGTGGTACATCAGTGACCATAACAGTATGTTGCTTGTAGGTTTGAGGTGATGCATTAACTTTATAAACAGTGAAGGAGAACAGTATATTGTTTTCCAAACAATAGCTGATATTCATTAAATGTCCAGAAAGGAGGAGAAGGGTTGGGGCACAAAAGAGAAAATTCTGTGGCAGGCAGAAGGAATTGAGGACTTCAAGGGAGGGAGAGCAAAAAATTTAAGCAACAGAGAAGGAGGCTCTGAAAAGATCTTTCCTAGTACTTTTAAGTTGCACCTGTTTTGAGATGATCCTTTGCATATGGGGACAATAAATACAACTATAGTGAGCTACTGTGTACTTTAAAAATAAGGCTCCAAGTTAGTTTCTCATAGCTGGATGCTTTCCTGGAAACACAAGCAGCTCTTCAGGTGAAGAAGACATAAATGCTTGCTTCAATCATGAGCATTATGCCTTACATAATGTGTTATGAGTGCTGTGTTGTGAGTGCTGGTATGTAGGATTTAGCACAAAAGTAGTGGTGGAATGCTGCTTACCAGAGACATATTTCTCAGTCTGTTTCCCAGACTGGACCTGTTGTTTAAGGACCTCTTGTTCAACTTGTTAATGCCTTAATCCTCTTCCCTACTTTAGATGCATGCTATGACAGGCCTTGGGAGTTCAGCAACCCAGAGCAGCACTTGAATTGTTAGCGAGCTGAAATGTTTGCTTTGCAGAAAGCAAGTGATTATATGAGTGATGGAAGAAAATGAAAAAAGTTTTGAATTAAGATGGTGCCTCCCCGCCCATCGTTTCCTTATGGTATGAAAGCACACTTAGAAGAATTAAAAAAGTATTGCGTCCAAGACTTAATTTTTGTCTGAGTAAATGCAGAACTACTTTATTGTCTGGAAAGGGAACTTGCCTGAATTAGTTGGAGAGAGTGGGGGACTGCATGTGGATAGAAATGATTTGAAAGAGTGACTTTCAAGCTGTAGTTATCAGCCTACTGGGAGCATTTGAACTGCTTCTAGACGTGTGCAAAAGGTAGTTCAGTGGCTATGTAACAACTGTCCAATGTCAACTCAGGACTGCTAAAAAGAATAGCCCTTCCCTTCTTTTTGCCCCTACCTGATCATGCCAGCATAATGAGATGGTGGAAATTGCAGCTAAACTAAGGTCAGTTTGGATGAAAACTAACAATTTACTTTGGCTGCTCTTCAGCTGGATTGTTTCTAAAAACTTAAGAATGTTAAACACCTACTTGATTTTTGTATTTTTAAGTGTCCTAGAAGTTAGCTAGTGGATAGGATGTGTGTACTGAGGTTTGAGAGGCTCTTCGATTCTTACATTTGGGTTTTGTCAACCCTGCTTGCAGAGGAGTAAAGCATTCACAAATGATTGTATCTCAATTTCTTCCTTCATACCATCCAGATTTTTGAGAGGTACACGTGAAAGAGCAGTGTCCTGAAAAGGAAGCCATAGAGGAGGTCAAACAGAGAATGCAGGAAAAATGTTTGTGCTACAGTCTGGAATTGTTCATGAACTGTCCCAGGTCTCTAAATTACTGGTGTGTAAAACTTAGTTTTTTGGAATAGTCCGCAGGACATGATGATTTTGGGAATAATAGAGGCTAGGTTATATGTTTCACAGAGCCTAGACTTTGTTCAAGACATGTTTCCATTATTAGCTGAAATATTGCTGACCTCTAAAGGAACAAGCATGCTGTACTGGGCCACCATTTATCTGTATCAAGCAGAGCACTAGATGCCTTTGCATCAAGTAATTAAAGCTTTGAATTAAAGTGAGACACTGGATTCATCCCTTTAGCTCGTGCAAGTGCTTTCATGTGGTTGTACCTTTCATTCCAAAGAATTTTGCGTATACTGATGTGACTTCTGAGGGTTACTCTTAAGTGGTAAACAAGTAAGTATTCATTTAACAGGACCTTTAACTTCTGTTCATAAAAGGACAAAATCGGCTAGGAAAATGAGTCTTAAGTCTGCATGAAAGATCATGCTAGACTTGGCATTCATTTACTAAACTAGAATAAGCTTTTTTTTCTTGTTACGTGCTTGCTCCTTCATTGATGGAAATCTTGTTTCTAAATGAAACTGTGTGAAAAGCAGTCTGGTAAAAGATGTCCAGGCTAAACTGGATTTGCATTCTTCCTGTCTGAATGGGGCTTTTTTGTATTCCCTCTAAGTAATGAAAAATACCTTGTTTCAAGATTCAGCATGTTAGATGTATAGTCTGCAAGTATTACTGAGGGATTTCTCTTCTCTTCCATCCTCTTAATGGCTACCAAGCTAATTTTTGAGGCGTGTGGCACTGAAGACTTGACTGTATGGGGCCATGCGCTTCCTGTGTACCTCCTTTTCTGTGCCTGTCTGAAAAGCTGCGAGAGGTGGCAGGTGAGAGATCAAACACTAATCTGTCCTGGAAATCAGATAATATTGTGGGTAGCGCCACAGCGTGTGGTACATCTGCATCGAGGCGTTTTGCCGTGAGAAAGGGATGGCTCTGCTTTCCGCGCCAGTTGGGCCCCACCTTACGTGGGGCGAGCAGCTCTTGTGTGACGGGGATCCTGCTGGTCCTGTCAGCCTTGAAAAGACGTAGTGCTGAAATACCACAGGGCAAAACCGCACAAATGCTCCAAAGCGGTGCGCTGGAAAAGCGAAAGTCTGCGTGCCCTCCCTGTCTGCGCTGGGCTGGTCTCGGGGGGCTGGTGGGGAGGAGAGCAGCGCGAGGCCACGCTGCCTCGTGGGCCCCGCGGCCGCCGGGGCCGGGGGAGCTCCTGGCCCGGACACCCTGCTGGGGAGGAGAGCCTGCGTGTCAGAAACAAGGAGCAATTCAAACCCTTTTCTTCAGAGCGTTAAACGGACCGGTCCGGATGAAGCTGTGGTCCCTGCGGTTACAGAAGTTGAAACACCAAGTCTTGGAGCATAGCTGTAGCCTCTTTTGTTCTTGTCGTTACGTGGATTACTGCTGTGATTTGTAAAATACAAATTGTCCAGGCTGTATTCCGGCTTCTCAAAAACAGGATGTATTATTGTTCTCCAAATTCGCATGGATTTTTTTTTTTCCCTCCCTCTGCATGCATGGCCTCCTCACAATGAAAGTGTCCCAAGCATTACTGAAGCAGCATCTTCTCTTGAAAAAATTTTAATAGCTTCTCTTTAGGAACTTCTATGCTTCCTTTGACTTTTATTGATACAGCTGCTGTATGGGATGATAGGTTAACTTTAACTGGGGGGAAGACAAATTACTTCCTGGGGTTAATGACTACTCTTCCTTTGCTATTTTTATGGAGTAGAAGAGCCATGAGGTTCCCATGGAGGTTCCCTTCTTCATGTCTAAAATTGACTTGGTTGTTTATTCAGTGCTTTTTGTCAGCAGGTTACTTTGCCAACTTGTAACAGAAAGCAAGCAGTTGGTTGTACAGGGCGGAATAACGTACCTGTGAGAATCTGCTGTGACGCTTTCTGTAGGTCGTGTACAATATTTAAGTGGTAAACAGCTCTTTCCAGGTGTTAGTTGTTTTTTCCCCAAAACAGGGAAAACAGCAGGTTAGTGAATATTCTGCATGTTTCTGTGGGTGGACAGTACTTGCATGTCAATGTCAGTATGTGTGTGTGTATATACTGTTATCTACTGTCAGCTTTTAGACTTCTTTTAAGTGTCAGACTACTGAATGACAAACAGTTGGTACTTGGCTGCGGCCGCCCATACTGGAGGACAGCTTCTCATAACCCCAACGACAACAACAAACCCCACCCTTCATAGCTGGAAGATGTCTTAACTTTTTTGAAGTGTTTCTTGGCAGGATCTGTATTGGAAACTTGCTTGTTGATAGTGTATAAAATTGCTAGAAGGCACAATGTGAATATAAGGATGTAAAGATGTGGAATATAAGGATGTAAAGATTGAAAATAGGTATTTGTTCCTTTTGTCATTACTAGAAGTTAGTGGACTACTTGGTGTGACTATTCTGTAGTACTTGTTTTGGTAGACAGACAAGGCTGGAAAATGATCTGGCGCTCTATAGCGAAGAATACCTAATGCCTAGTTTATTTTGCATAAAAAGCATGTGTCTTGCTTAAACTTGTGCATTGGTGGGCTGTTGCTGTATATGCACTTGACCTAAGGAAGCTGAGACTTTTTAGGACTGGTAATCTTGGTGTAACTCTGGATCGACTGGATTTATTGCTTCCTGGAAGAAAAAAAAAATAAAATTCTTGTTGCATGTAGCCTTCTAAAAGGAAAATGGTCAGTTGTACAGTGGGAACATTGGTTACATGCATTTGATGGGACTGATGCAAAAGGAGCAGAATTATTTGAGCAGAGAGACTTGTTCCAGCCCAACTATCCCCCTGCCCTTGACAGCAAGGAGTGTGATGTGCTTGAGCGATTCTCCTAGAGTATGGATGGTAATCCAGGAGTGCTGGAAAACTCACTTTTGGTCATATTACAGAATCAGAGGCCTGGCATCTTGCAGTATTTTTTTATTAAAAAGTTATCTCTGTGGAGTGAATTCTATGTGATGTATTTTTTAATCGGGTTTAAAAATGCTCTCCTTCTAACTCAATTTTGACTTCTGTAACAGCTGCAGATTCTGTCCCAACATTCTCACTTCCATGATAAATATAACTTCAAGTATCTGCGAAAGTTATTTCAGTTAGAATAGCACTCATTTGTACTGCAGCTATGCATTTCTGCAAGACGTCATAGTTTTTCATACAGATGGAAGTAAACAATGCCAGTAGCTGTAGCAAAATGGGCAATAGAACAGCTGCAAAACATGGTATTTGGCAAATCCCACAGTATAGATTAATCCATTATTTTTTTAAATTTGTTATCTTCTGTTTAGCACTGCATTGAACTTGAAGTAAATCGCACCAAACTCCAAAGCAGCTGAATTTACATACTGCAGCCGAAATCCAATAGTGAGAGAGTTTGTTTGTTTATTTTAGATGAAAACTGGGATGATGATCAGCTTCTTGGATTTGAACCATGCAATGAAAACCTTATAACAGGTTGTAACATAATCAGCGGGAAATGCGAATGTGACACCATTCGGACCTGTAATAATCCATTTGAATTTCCAAGCCGGGATACTTGCCTGTCGGCCTTAAAAAGGATTGAAGGTAAGCACTTGTCTTCAGTAATTCAGAGTTAGTAATTTTTCTGTGCATTTGATGAAAAGCTAGGGCCTAGTTTAATATGTTTCAGGATGACTTGGGTAGTTTCAGATACCTGTGGTCTGGTACTTTTCAGAAGACAGTTGTATATTTTAAAGGAAGACGGGACTTCAGTAAGCTAGGCCTGCCAAATGCATAGGTTTAAGAATGGAAGAAACTAATACTTTGTGTGTTACGATGTTTGCAGATTTTGAGACTAAAACAATTCTGTTCATAGTTCATGGTACCTACCTTCACATATCTTTAGCTGTAAAGCAGTGTGGAAAACTCTCTTTAGATGTATTGATATGACTGAACCGTGAATAAACACAGTGGATTTTAATAGCAAAGGCGTAGAAAAAGTAGTTGTTGATAATACTTACTTTTTTCTTATATGAATGCATGAATCGCTATTTTCTTTAGGTTTACATAATGTAGCATTACTTTAATTGCTTGTATTTTTCAGTTTCCATGTTCCTTTGATTAGACTTGCATTAGGCCACATATGTTTATGCTTCTGCACACATACGTGATGGATATTTTTGTTTGGGGTTTTCTTGTTTGCTTATGGCTGAACTGGAAATGAGTTGGCTCAAGTATATCCAGTTGGAATTAAATTCCCATGGTGTATTTCTAGAATTGTTTTGAACAGCTATCAAAGGTTTGATCTAGGGCCCTTTCTATGATGCTGTAATTACTGTTTATTATCCAAAGTATCCAGGAACATGCACAAGTTGATTAGTGGAGTGAACCTGCTTAATTAGTCTACTTTAAACCAATGTTTAAAGTCATATTGCAACAGTAAATGTATTTACAAGGCTACTAACCATATTTAAAGTTACTATGTTTAAGTTAAGGAAGTGTGATGTGATGTCATCTGTCGTACTTGTTTTGTGATAAGAAAACTGTTTTCAAGCTACAGACTTGAAACGAGGAGAAGTTGTGGAAAAAACTGTAGCTGGCGGAAATGTTCATTGACGGTCATGATGTTGGTCACTAAAAGCGTACAAGTGCTTTGTGTGCATTTTTTTGTGTTTTTTTAGCTCTAGGAAGAGGAGAGGCACAACCTTTGTTGGCCTCTTGTTTGTTGCTGTAGTAGTGGGCAGTAGCATATATGGGTTCTTAAGTAACCTTACTCACCACTTCTTTTTTTACTTGTGAATGCATGACTAAGTCTGCAGTAGTTTAGCAGGACTCTATTGGCATGACAATTCATCATGTGTTTAACTTGCTAAGAAAATCTGCTGTGGGATGCCTTTTTTTTTTTTTGCAGGCTCGGAAGAAATGGACTTAGTTTGTGGAATGGTGTAGCTAAAGCAGGTTGATTCTTTGAGTAGCTTTCCTTCAGTAACCTCTTGTTTCAGCTGAATTCCTGTTTTAAAAAGAATAGCATTTTAAACTTACCCATGAGGTAACAATATTCTCCAAGTAAACTATTTGGTATGACAGTGATGGTGCGGTTGTTTTTCAGAGGTGTAATTTTCTTTTTTGTTTATTTGTTTTCTTGGTTTTATTTCTTTTTTGGGGAGTGGGGAGGGTGTTATTCCAAAGCCTCAGACTATAGGGCACAAGTAGAAGAGTTTAGGACCTGCTGTTTTTTTAATCCTTGACAGACAGGAAGGATAGTTGATGCAAGTGATGAAACAACAATGGTACCCTTAAATACCAGAAATCTGGCAGTTACAACTTGAGTGTTGTAACAGTCCAGCCTTTACTTATAAGAATGTGAATTTGCATTTGCATCCTCAGACTATCCAACCCTACTGCTGAGGAATGTTTGAAATTAAATCCATCCATATTTCTTAATAGAAGGGCAGAAGTCATAGCATAACTTTGATTTGTCTGCATTTGACAGCTGTAGTCAGTCAAATCTGCCTACTGTGTTTTGCACTGTAAATGTTTATTCCCTCTTGCTCTGACTAGGATTGGGAATTGAATGCTAACAGCTTATGGAGGTTATTTCTTTAAATACATTACTTCTTGTTTTGGTAATTAAAATGTATGCTTCATCCTGTACCTAACCTAATGGAAAAGAAGAATAACTATTTTTCCCCTTGCACTTGACCCATCCCTGTTTGGTAAGCAAGCAAAGTCTCTTAGGTAGAACAGGATAGCCACTTTGGTGTGTCTGAGCCAGTATTTGCTGTTTGAGTATTTCAGGCTTTCAGAGTTCATAGTCTGAAAGTTGAATTCATCCATTCAGAAAATCCACCTGAAACACAACTTAGGTAGCATGCAAACAAGAGGGCTCTTTCAGCATGTTAAAATGGAGAAAGATTTCAGTTTCTTCAAGGCAAGCTAAGTCTTTAACTGTAGTGTCATGTAAAAAGAGGTGATTCATAAGATCTGTTAAATATGTCTAATTAAGATTTTACTGAAATCCAAAGTACTGATGTATACTTCACTCTTTTGGCTTGTCTGTTAAAGATAATGGCAGGAAGATTTGAAACTAGTAATTTAAATCCTGAAATACTTTAATAGAACCTGCTACCATGGAAAGTGGGACCAAGACAGGGTAGTCTAAGTTCCATCTCCTCACCATACTTGATATGGATAATTAATACACAGTGTGATTAAAAAGACTTAAGTTGAGCACCTGATTGATGGGTACACCATAACAGGAGTTTCTGAAGAAAACTTAAAAGAAGAAAAGTGTCATTTAAGCAGCTACTTCCATGTGTTTTCTACTTTGAAGATACTTATTAAGCAATTGAGAATGTTTTGTGTTGTTCAGTGACGTGTCACTTTGCAGGATTTTTGATATTCATTATAAGTTTGTGTATCATTCACATGTTGATGAACTTCCATAACACAGCTGAGGCAAGGGAAGATACTTAACCCCATCCTGCTGAGGAGAAAATGGGTCAGGTAGCTTTCATTCTAATTATGGAGGTAATTGGGAGGGTCCCATCAAGTGAACTTTTTTTTGGTAGTACTATTAAAAGCACAGCTGAAATAGATTTATAACTTTACAGAATATTTGACAAATTGGAACCTAGAAAATTAGTATACAATGGCATCTAGAGAAATTCTGGCTCAAGCAATTTCATTAAAGTTGCATAGCTATGACAAGTTATCTTGGGCTGTATAAATTCATTTAACCGAGGACCCGTCTTTCAGTTTCCTGAGTAGTGGAGGCAAGGCTATTATAGAGGCCAGTGGTGCTAGACCAGTGTGGTTTGCTTGTTCTGATTAAAATGAGTTCTGTGGATTTTCTGTCTTCTTTCTCTCTGTCTCTCTATTTTTTTTGTTTTCTTTCTTGTTGGATTTTTTGTTGTTACCTTGAAAGAAGAAGGAAGGGTGCAGTTAGGCTCCCCCAACCATACTAAGTATACATAGGTCCATGCACAGGAGATGCTGGTGCTAATGGCATAGTGTTAGCTGTAGTTGCCAGCTCAATCAACCTGTGCAGCTCACTGAAAGCTATCTTTGCCTGCGGACGTGGAATCTGTTCCATAAATACAATCTGGCAAATAACAAGCGGTGAGCCAAAATCTGCAGTCCCATTTCCAGATATGAATGTGTATGTGCTAAGGGGTTAGGGCTTTTGCATGTACTTTGATTTCTTGTGTCTTTTTGTGCTTGCACCTTCCCTTTCAAGTGCCTCTCTAGTCATCTTCCTTATTTTTTTTTACTTCTAGTTTGTCTTATACTTAAGCTTTTCAGGTTGTGTGGTCTTCCCTTCTGGGCTTGGTATCAGTTCTAGCTTGCTTACTCAGCTAACCCAAAGTTTTCTTGTTAGCGTCATATAGGATCTTTCTTTCCCTATTGGCTCGTGTCTGCCTGCCTTCCTGGGCTCTTCATATTTTCTTTTACCTTTACCTTTCCCTGCCTCCTTTCCTTGCTTTCTTTGCCTACCTATTTCATCCTGTTTGTACCCCAGTTCACTTAAACAAGCCACATAAGGCAAATAAGACAACTTTATCTGTCCTTCCTTCCCAAAATCAGGCTGCATGGGTTTAACATCATGTTGCTTAGATATTGTTGACAAGGCCCAAAAGCCATGTTCTTTATTTTGTCTCCCAAAGTCTTGCTCTGCCCTCAGCTGGGGAAGCCTGTAATAGGAAGCATCTGTTTTAATCTCTAATGTATGTAACTTCTGTAGGGGTGCTGATGTCTATTTGCAAGAAAGTACCGAGAGGTTAATGGGGGGGTCTCAATAATACAGGTACTGAAGGCAGTTGTCGTCCTCACCCCTTGCCCTTGTTTTCCTGGGAAACCGTAGGATTAGATACATTGGAAAGGATTGGTTTTGTCATGGAAGTTGATAGCTAACTTCTAACTAATCTTTGTGTAGACATACTGCAAGCATCCAAAGACTTGTTACTTGAATGGAGTACCATACAGCATTGTCCTGGTTTTGGCTGGAATAGAGTTAATTTTCTTCCTAGTAGCTGGTACAGTGCTATGTTTTGGATTTAGTATGAGAATAAAGCTCGTTTATGCCTTAGAGGTCTCACAACTCCATTACCAGGCTTAAAGTGTCTGCTTCTCTACATGGACTGTCAGTGACTTTTCATATAGAAGGTTGGTATAGAGGTCACAAACCATCCTGCTGTGAGGAAATGCACACATTGGGGCTAGAAAGAAACTGTCTGGAAAAGCTATCGCGTACCTAAATAATAATAGATTCCTATGTTGGTGGTTTTTGTTGTTGTTTAAAATGTTTTGCTTTTGGTTATTGTCTTGATGAGTACCTGCTCTGATATGGTGCAGGAAATCCTGTGTTCTTGAGCTTGGAAAGCTGGCTTCTATTCAGGAGACTGCTAATGATGACAGCTTGGTTGAACTTGGGCTGCTGGAGTGGACTGTGGAAAATAAGGCCAGAGGGTGAAAAGTGATGAGATGCCATCTGTCTGCTGAGCCACAGTAAGAGGCAGAAGTCTAATAAGCTGCATCTATACATTCTTGCAGTCATGATCTGCTAAGAATTAGGTGCAGATGGTACAGAAGAGTCAGTTCTTCAG